TCTATTTTAGCCACATTCTGATGCTGTTCAAAGCAGGATGATTCTGATGACGGAGCAGGGGACGAAGATGAATTAAGCGATGAAGGAGATCCCAATTCACAGCAAAATGTAGCACCAGAATACAAGCGTTTAATTGCCATTCATGCTGGAAAAGGAAAAGGTGGACTGTCAGATTGGCTGAGGGTTGATCCTGATAAAGTAAGACGGCTTAGCTTGAGTGAGCAAGAACTTGGAAAGGCTGTAGTTACTCATGGAAAAGAAATTATCAGGTATTATTTTTGCTCCATCCATCAAATTCACTATAATGTATGTTATGTATCCCTGTTCTTTGTCAATGTCCTAGACTGGTGGATGTATGCATCAACTTTCTGTCTCTTCCTCGTGGCATTTCTTTTTGCTGGAGGTTGGGGTGGGTGCTCTCATAATCAAGGGTACATCATTTTACTGATGTATTCTTTGTGATTTACAGAGCAAAAAAGTTTGTACTTTTTTATATGTGATCAAACGAGAGAAGATTGCTTGAAAGTTGAAACGATTTGATCATTGTGATATGTAGTCCTAACTGCACTGGTGTGTAGGTTAAATGATACTTAAACATTCTGGAATCTTACATCTGAACCACTTGTCATAATGTTGTCATGTAGTTGTTGTTGTAATGTTGTCATCTGATTGATCTACAGCACCTGGTTTGTAAGGTTTTACCATTTCATTCACACCATGTACATGTAATATATACCATATATGCATAACATTTCAATAAAATTAAGTGTCTTATTCTATGTCAATGTGTTACAGGTTCACTCAGAGGAACTTGCTGAGAATATACCCAAAGGGCATACGTTTTGACTCATCTAATTACAATCCTTTTGTTGCATGGACGCATGGAGCTCAAATGGTGGCATTCAATATGCAGGTCAATCTTCTTTCTTCATACCCCAAGAAAAGTAAATAAGGAAAAAAGAAAAGGAAAGCAAAACTGGTAGCACTTCATAATGCAAGTTAACCTTTTCGGCCGGGCCTAAATTAAATATGAGATAGCTCATTCTTTAGGAAAGACTAAATTTGGGTAAACCGCAATGTCAGATAAAAAGAACGGAAAAGGGCCAGAACTACCCCTGAAGTATCAGAATTGGTACAAAAATACCATCCATCCACCTATTTGGATAAAAATGCCCCTACCATTATATTTCGCTCAACATTACCCTTATTACTAAAAGAAAATTCTAAAAAAAATAGAAAATTTAATTAATATCCACATGTCACCGTTCCATTGGCTTAACTTGAACTTCAACCAAAATATAATTAAACTCACTCGTAACCCATTCGAATATTGACTCGCTTCGATTTTAAAATACAACTCTCGCCCTCCCCCCAGCCTCACCCCCCCCCCCCCCCCCTCTCTCTCTCTTAGATATATATATATAAATATATAATAATATATATATATATATATATATATAAATATATTATATATATATATAATATATTATAATATATATATATATATATATATTATATATATATATATATATATATATAATATATAATATATATATATATATATATATTCCTTATTCTCCTTGTTGCTACTTGGGCGGAATTCACCAGCGGATCCGTCGGAAATAGCAACAAACACAACGACACATCTCACTTGCAAATTATGGATAGAAAATTCTTTTATTTTTCACTAGACTCAGCACAGTAATCTAATCAAAAAAATTGAATCCATGATAACAAAAATGATTTCAAAAGAAGAAAACAATACTAGTGAAGAAATTATCTTAAAAATTATCAACTATTAGTTGAACCCAGTGTGTATGAAATATGATAATTGCACAATACCCGTTAAACATAGCAGAAAAGCTTATATATTAATAGAACAAATAATGAAATAAATTAAAAATAGAAATACACATTACATAAACAATAAAAAAATTGAAAAAAGCCTCGGTTTGGTTCGATTTTTCGGGTTTTTATAAACACCCCCAATCATACACATACACTCGTAAAAAATGCTCATTAAAATGAAATGGCAGAGGGAGGAGTTTAATTATAATTTAGCTTAGGGTTTATATTAGGCCTATGGGACGGTGACACGTGAATATTAATTAAATTTTCTTTTTTTTCCTAAAATTTTCTGTTAGTAATAAGGGTAGTGTTGAGCCAAAAAAATAACGGTAGGGGCATTTTTATTCAAATAGGTGGACGGAGGGCATTTTTTTTACCAATTCCGATACTTTAGGGGCAGTTCTGGCCCTTTTCCGTAAAAAGAATATAATTTAGTGTTTGATCTCAGTGGCCCTTTTGTTGGTTAGACTACTGCTGTTAACATGACTACAAGATATACATTTGGCTTTTTCCCTTCATGATGTAACAATTGATTTAGAGGAAATGAGTGAATTTGTTAATCTGTGTCTGTTTTTCTCAAGGTGAAGGACATAGTAATAATAAAACCTATCAGAACATAGTTATCCCCAAGCATGCATATACATCCTAGGATTTCTATACATTTGTGATCATTTTGACGTCTGACACATATCACATTAGGATTTTTTGAAGCTTTTCTTCAACACTTGCAAACGTGCTATGATTCCAATATCTGAAACCTGATAATCTAGCAGCTTGAATTGAAGCCTCTGATATATTATATATTTTAAATGATTTGTCTGGAAAATGAACTTGGAGGAGGAGTAAATATGTAGTAAATAAAGGACAGCTAGAAGGTTGGTGTGACTATGTTAAGCTAAAAAGGTTTCCACTATTGTTTGCTGTGGATCCCCTCATATTCTCCTGCAACCATCGGGGTAGTTATCTTCTGGAATATAAATGGATTCAATTAGCTGTCCGTAACATATGAATAATGACTTGTTTCGGCTTATCAGTTGCAGTACGTTCCAATTTGCTTGTCATAGTCCTCTTTAGGAAAATGCTCTAAACAAAAGTTTTATGGCAGGGCTATGGAAGATCACTTTGGTTAATGCATGGTATGTTCAGATCCAATGGTGGTTGTGGATATGTTAAGAAACCAGATATACTATTGAAAGCGGGTCCCAACAATCAGGTTTTCGATCCTGAAGCAAATTTGCCAGTCAAAACTACATTGAAGGTACTTGAGGGGATGTAGTTTTATACTTGACTTTGTTGGATTACATATTGATTTGATCATGTTGATGCAAATAATCCAAGACTTCCTGAATTAAGCAGGTGACCGTATTTATGGGTGAAGGATGGTATTATGATTTCAAACACACACACTTTGATGCATACTCGCCTCCAGATTTCTATGCAAAGGTAGACCAATATACTTCACCATCATTTTTTCATTACTTGTTTAAATTCTGTCATCTTTTGGTAATTAGCATTAATTTTCTTAAAACTACATTTCGAGTTGGAAGTTAAGGTATAGAAGTTTGAAGAAAACCGTTTCCTTTCACGTTTTCTGATGAATTGAACGTTGAGTTATGTTGAAAAGGAGAATCTGAATGGTATAAGTGTATAACTCTATGCAGATAGGAATTGCCGGAGTTCCGGCTGATAATGTAATGAAGAAAACAAAGACTCTTGAGGACAATTGGATACCAACTTGGGATGAAAAGTTTGAGTTCCCATTAACAGTTCCTGAGTTGGCTCTACTTCGCGTCGAAGTTCATGAGTATGATATGTCTGAAAAAGATGATTTTGCTGGCCAAACTTGTTTACCTGTTTCAGAACTTAGACAAGGTATCCGAGCAGTTTCACTCCACGACCGAAAGGGAGAGAAATACAACTCTGTGAAGCTTCTTATGCGTTTCGAATTTGTCTAACTGTGAGTCGCTTGTTTTCTCTTATGTTTCTGTGTATGTTGTGGTAAATTCTGTATCTTTGCGAGTATGTGAGGTGAGATGTAAATAAATATATGTGGTAAAATGTGTGCAAATAGTTTTTGGAAAGTTGTCCGTCTCTTTGTAACTTGTGGTAAATTCTGTAAATAGATGTATGTGGTAATGTGTGAAATTAATTTTTGAAAATTCGTTCTCATTTTCATGGTAGTTTGTAATGCTGCAATCAACTAAAACATATATGGGCGATAACCATGGGATTATTTTCATTTATCTAAGCCTTAGGTGGACAAAATTATCTAATACTACCTGTTGTTGAACAATTCAGGTGCGTGCAAATCGATTTGAACACTGCCGGTAAGAAAAAATAAACATATAAGCAGGGTGTGATTCAGAAATAAGCAAATATAATGTACAATATTTTTCTTTGTTTAAAAAATCTTTTTGGCGCATGCCAAAGTATACAATTTCTATTAGTGCATAGAATAGGTATTAGACTGCCTAAGCACGAATAGGTATTAGACTAGTGATAAATTGGTAATCACAAAATGTTCATTTATTAATTTCAGTTATTTTTCACTAACTTTATGTATGTTTAATTTTGGTCACCCTTTAAAGTTTAAACTATGGATAGTGTTGCACTCTCATTCTCTAGAAGTTTTATTGGGACAATATATGTTACTAGGATTTAAACCAAGATTAGTAATCCTAATTCGTTTAAGATTTGATAATTGTCAGTTTTTCTATTTCATCTCGAAATAGGTTTTCTAGTCCAAATTAAATGAAAATATTTTTTCCTTAGTTTCTAGTCAAACTGATTTTGTACTAATATAAATATGACGTCTAATACTTAGTTTCTTGGTTACCACAATCACAAACTTAATTGACTTCAATTTTCCAAAATCAAATTATATATATTGCTTTCTTAATTTCTCAAAGCAATCTACCCTACATCCCTCCTTGCAAATTCCACGCCTTCTTGATTGAAAGAAGTTAAAAGAAACTCTCACTAATCATACCCTTTTTTGCCCTAACCCCCTACCCCCACCCCCCTACAATCCCTCGTTGCAACTTCCACGGCTCCCTAATTAGAAAGAAGTTAAAGAAACTCTTAACACTTTATTACTCCCTTTGAAACTGGTGACGATAAATACAACAACAACAATTCAGTGAAATTTCACAAGTCGGTCGGGTCTAAGAGAATAGTGGTTTTCGGTAGACCCTCGGTTCAAGAAAGAAACTGGTAACGATAGATGATAATGGTAATGGCTTTTTAGTGTAGTTGTATTCTTAATTGAGATTGATAAAGAAACAAAAGAAAGATGAGTTTACTTTTGGATTTGGAAGAAGATTGTGATGATGATATATTGGTGCCACCAACAAACTTTTATGCAGTGGAACATAACTGCATTTACAGGTCTGGTTTTCCTCAGCCTTCAAATTTCTCTTTTCTCAAGTCACTCAATCTACGCTCAATCATATACTTATGTCCAGAACCATATCCAGAACAAAACATGCAATTCCTTAAAATAAACAACATCAACCTTTTCCAGTTCAGAATAGACGGCACTAAGGAGCTGATTAGCAGTGATATTATAACAGAGGCTTTAAGAGTGATAATTGATGTTAGAAATCATCCAGTTTTAATTCACTGCAAACGTGGAAAGCATCGAACTGGTTGTCTTGTTGGTTGTTTAAGGAAATTGCAGGACTGGTGTTTGGTTGATTTGGTGGAGGAATACAAGCATTTTGCTGGCATTAAGTGGAGGGAAACTGACGTTACATTTCTTGAGGAATTTGATGTTTCATTCAGGGGCGGATTTAGGGTTAAATCTACGGGTTCGAATGAAACCAATAGTTTTGGCTCGGATCCTATGTATGTGTTAAAATATGCATTACCCATAAAGTTCAAATCTTGATCCGACTCTCGTTTCATGCATATATCTTTTTGCCTAAGAGCATTATTATATACAGGTACTATGGCTTGATGAAGAGGTGCTTGCAGCCAGAGGTTGATTTAGGATTTAACACTATGATTCAGCTCCTTATAATTTTAATGTTATAGGTTCATATTTACTATTTTTATAATTTTAGTGTATTTTTACATATAAATTTTTATTCCGTATCAAAAGTTAACCTCCATCCGCCCCTGCTTGCAGCGTAGAAAAAGATTAAAGAAAATCTGCTGAATGATTTTCTGTTCTATATATGTGGAAATTATCCATCTAAGTCTTTATCTTGGATTGGATATTCCCATTGCCCCTGTGTTTCTTTAAGCGTCTTTTTCTTTAGTCACATATTTCTTATTAGCTGTATAAGGATTTTGAAAGATATTTATAAATTATAATGGTCATTGGCTAATTTATCATTGCTTAAAACTTTGGGTTCCATAATTATTATTTTTGGTTTTCCGATCGGCGTCCGTTGTCCGCTTTGATACCGCACTGATCTGGTTTCATGTGGAAAGTTCTACTTTTGTGAATAAAGTACTCCTATCAAAGACGACTCTATACATACTGTTCGAACCTAAAATTTCTTTTAAAGATGAAAGAATACTTAATTACCACTCCAACACAATCTTTGGTGGTACACATTTTTTTCTCTAACAAGATTAAGCCTAGTTCGAGTTTAAAAAATAATTAGCGAGACCTCAAAGTAAGTGCGGGCCCACATGAGGGTAATAGGATCATTACAATACTGGGCATGAAGGTAAGAAGGATTTAAGGTCCTAAAGTTGTATGGTTAAAGACATAGCTTGGAATGATTGAGCTAAGAGGGAGGAAAGGGTTCCAGCAAATTTGCGTGCCTACGCAGGCTGCACATGCAAAAACATAATGAAAGTGAGGGGGAGGACTTAAGCTGCATAGGCTACACAAGCCTGCGTAGCCAATCTAAGTAGGCAACGCAACCAGCCTACGCAGGCTATTTTCTATAAAAATAGGAGGTTCGGGGAGAGAAAAAAGGATAACAGTTTTGGCTAAGTTTTGGGTTCTAGAGAGAAGGTGGAGCATCCTCAACCCTAATACACTTCAAAGGTGAGTTTCATGATATTTTTATGATAGATTAACATTGGTTAATGCTACTATTAACATCTACATGGATTCATTTCACTCCAATCTTCAATAATTATTCAAAAGAGTTCAAGTTAGGGTTTGAGCTACAAGAGGTAATTAAATTCTCTACCCCCACTTCAATATAACTATGTAGTAAGTATTAAAAATATATTATGAGGTAAAAAGTACCATTTGGTTGGAGAATTATGTTAGTCCCCGAAACGGGTATATGAGTTAGGGTTCTTGAATGGGGAAGAAGATGAATAGTGAATTTTGAATCTTGTTAATATGGTTGGTGATTCTGGTGCTTCAATAGCTTAATCGTGATAAAGTATTGAATCGTATAACATGTATTAGGATCAAAGACCAAGGATGGAAGCAACTAAGGATAAAAAGGATATGTATGGGTGAATTGGGCTTGTTGAAGACTTACAGTTAACTTGTAAACCTTAAGTGGGTATCGACACACACACACACACGCATATATATATATATATATATATATATATATGTGTGTGTGTGTGTGTGTGCGTGTGTGTGTGTGTGAANGAGCTTGAGTCCGAGCTTTTGAAGGTAAAAGCCGAAGTTGTGGATGCCTGGGCCGAAGCTGTAATGAGCCAAACTAAGGCTGATAAGAAAGTGGAAGTCCATTTGAGGGACGCTGTCGATGCTCGAGCTGAGCTGAGAAGGGTTCTCGACCGCGAGAGTAGGAGCTTGGAGTATACCCGATGCTGATCTCGAAGGGAAACCCTCGAGGAGATCAATGTTACGGGGTTTTGACCTCTCGGAAGAGGTGAAACAGGCAGAGGCGGATGAATATGACGCTAAGTCCCTTCTGTCCGATGCCGAGATCGTGAGAAACAAGCGGACGGGCTGTAGTTCTCGAGGGGGGGCGTAGATTAGGCCTTTCCTATGGCGACGTTCGAGAGTTCTAAATGAATTGGAGCATCGTACTGTTATTTTGAAGCTTGGACTTGAGGTAAGTTGATTAAAACTTACTCTTCTTGAGGAATTTTCTCTAAAGTCATATTTGAGTTATTACATGAGTTTGTTTGTAAATGTTCATCCGTACTTGACGGGACAAGCGGGAAAGGATGTCACCATGTATTTTGAGTTTAGTTGCATAAAGAATGTCTTGTTATTTTACAATTGAGAAATTCTATTTTTAAAGATTTGAAGGTAAATGCACTTGAGGAAAATGTTATAATTTTTATTTAAACTTATGTATTGGAAAGAATATAAAGCATTTGAGTGATAAAGAGGTATTTTATGAAAAGTATTTCTTTTGAAACTTGATTAATGGATAACACTCGTCGTATCTTTGAAGATGGATGTTAAATTGCTAAAGGCTTTAACATGAAGAAGATCATGTAGTTGATTGTTTTTATTCAAATGGTTTAGTTTGGCCATGAGTTATGATTTAATAAAAATAGATCCTTTGAGACTATAATGCTATGAATCTATTTTTGAGATATCAAATATTTTGGGAGTTACTAGTGGAGACCACCGAGATTGGTTCGAATGATGAGTCCGTTACCATGGAACTATACGTGACGGTGTAGGGATACATTCCAAGGCTAAGCCAAGGTTTGTGGGATAAAGACCCCCGTTGTGAGGGCAAGTTATCACTGAAGTAATGGGAAGCCGCCCAGACAAGCAGGGTCAAATATCTATTGCTAGGAGCCGAAAGTGATTTCAATGACTTAATGAAGCTGAAATGATTTTACATGATTTTTATTAGAATTATGGGTTGGTATAAATATTTTAAAAGTTTTTATCATGATTTATATTTTTCTAGTCTTTTCATTTAAAATGATAAAGAGCATTAATTTGATATAATTGTTATCGTTTTATATCAATTGGTAGCATTATTTTTTTAAAGCGTAGTCCCAAGAACTTGGGTTAGAGAGAGTCTATGAAACTTATTGAGTATTGTTGTAGTGTACTTAGCCCTCAGAGGCCCCTCTCCAGGGTCCCGCTTACTTTACATATTTCAAGAGGAGGTGTGGTACGTGATGAACGGATGAAACTAGGATGACTCTCTTTCCGAGGTTTATGGTAAGGCACCCCTTCTATTTCGTGGTAGCTGCCATGCTGATTCTTTGCTCTTTGTTGGTTGGGTTATCCTAAGTATTTATTTTATTCTCATGTCTTAGAGATTACTAGACTATTAGTATTCTTTTGGGATTGTAAGTGATGGTCATTCATATATCATGAAATGAAAGAGACATTGTTATCCTTATGTATTTTCAATTATTGAAAATGATGTATTTAAAGATTATACTTCGTGTCTGATTTTAATCATTTAAAATGAATATGTTTTCAAAAAAGCTTCCGCATGCATTTGTTAGTCATATAGATGGATATCCTAGTATGGTTTGGTTTGCCTGTACTGTTGGATAGTGTGTCGGGTGCCGGTCACATGATCTTGAATCGTGACAACTAGTGACGAAAATCTCGCGTTCAAATAACTTAAGATGGAATATACCAGTTACATAACATGGTACATATAAGAATAAAGCAATGACTTGAAACCAATTATTCTTTTAATTTCTTTTTGTTACTTAGACGAGACTGAGAATGATCTTCTCCTTTGAAAAGATATAAGTTGGATAAAGATAAAAAATAAAAATAAAAAATATAAAGGTATGTGCTAGGTAGGGGTAGACCCAGGATTTGAGTGTAACGGAACACTAATATCTTCACATATGCCAATTAATAGCAACAAAGTTCGGCGTTCAACTCCTTAAAAACTTAACGATTATGATAACTTATCATCAATGTACAAACTCTCAATCGCGGTTGTTGATAACTAGGGATTTTAGTTCATTTTACACTCCTTTTTACTTGAGTTTTGATTAAAAATACATACAAATAGTCCCAAAGGCTTACATGTTGTACTTGTTTGCAGAGTTTGGTCAAGAAAGTGACAAGAGGTCAAAAATCAGCTCAAAAAGGAGTGAAACCTGCACAAGTACCAAGAACAAGTCAAAGCACAGCTACAACAGACCCACCGCGGCCGCAATCCATTTAGTGCGGTCCGCGGTGAGGAGATTCAGAGAGGTGCAGTTTTTGGGAGCTCAAGCACTACGGCCGCAAAGCATTTTGTGCGGACCGCAGTAGCCTCACCGCGGCCGCAATCCATTTTATGCGGTCTGCGGTGAAGAGATTCAGAGAGTTGAGAATTTAGAAGTTGGAAGCCACTGCGGCCGCAACCCATTTTGTGCGGACCGCAGTGAAGCCACGGCGGCCGCGGTGGCCAGATTCAGAGACCTAAAAATCAAGCTAAAAAGCCTCATCGCGGCCGTGGTGCATTTTGCGCGGTCCGCGGTACCTCCACAGGGGTACTTTTGTCCAGAAAATTTGGCCTTGTATAAATAGTTCTTTTTCAGATTTTTAGGGTATCTAACTTTTAGCTGAGCACGTGAAGGCCGTTTTGGACCTATTTTGAGTAATTTTGTGGCTATTTAAACATTGAATCTTTAATTCTTAGCTTGTAAACATATTATATGGGTTATTCTTCATCTAATTATCTGTTTTCTTCCATTATTATGAGTAGCTAGACCCATTAGCTAGGATTGTGGCTCAACCCTAGTGTGGGTATTTGATGGGTCTTGTGTTTTAAGGCTTAGATGTTTATGGGTGGTTGATATTTGGACTGATTTGTGCTTTCTATGTTGGATTAGTGGTTGCAAACACTAATTCGTGCCTATTTGACTTGAGCTCTTCTTGAGAAAGAGAGCTTGAGTTTAGGTAATCAGTCCAACAAGGAATTGGGGCATATTCAAGAGATTGATAGCCCCAATTAAAGGGTTAAATCTAGAGATAGTAATACCCGACTTGAGCCTACATTGCTTGTATAATTTCGACACCCAATTGGTCTTGAGAAAATCAATTTGGCCAAAGTCACTCAAGCTACCGAGAGGTATAGAGTGAGTAGCGTCGTGCATTGGCTATATCGCAATCCCAAACATAACAACTT